TTCCCTCCCACACTCGCAGTTAAGTGTAGCATCAGCGTGATTGAAGCGGCGATGATATGCCGCAAAGTCTCCATGTCCAGTTCGGGCAGCGATCAAGTGTGCGAAGACCGCTCTAGGTAGCGCTAGCTCTGGCGGTTTCTTACGCCGCATCTCGAGTTCAAGATCGGCGTAGTGTTTGGGGCGATTCAAGTGCCACCAGTCCGTCAACATCTGCCTGGCCACTTCACGGGCTTTCCGTCCTGTTGAGGCGAGGGTCATCACACCATGTGTCGTCCTAGAGTTGTCCGGCGAGTTAAGCTCTATTCGAGCGAGTTCATCGGCGATTTCATTTCCTGCTAGCCCTTCGTGGCCCAGAATCCATCCTATTTTGACAGGCGCGGCTGATCCCGCGGCCAGTTTCACGAACTTTTGGATACGCCAGGATGATGAGGCCGTTGTTCCCGTCAGTAAAGCCTGAACAGCCGCAGAATTGTCGAGAAGGATGTAGATAGCGCTGCGTCCTCGATCTCGATTGCTGGCAGTAATTGCTTCTATAGCAGCCAAAGCTCCATGGACCTCTGCGTCGTAGACCTCCGCATTGGTGATTTTGCCTGAGCCGCTTTGCTCGATTGTCGTGCCTGTGCCACTGATAAACGTCACAAAGGCCCATGACACTCTGTCGGTGGACGCCCCAGAACCATCACTGTACATCCAGATACAGTCGGGTGGGAGTGACGGTAGCCACTCTCTTATAAACTTAGCAGCCTCTTTCTTGTTTGTCCAGCAGGGATTCGGCTGATGGGGTACTGGAGGTCGGAGCGGTAGATGAAGTTCAGCCTCTGGCGGAAGTCGGTACATCCTCTGGACCCTCGAATCATGAACTCTATCCAGACCAAGTCTGCTTTTGTTGTATGTCTTTAGCCCGAGTCGGTGGCGAGCGCTGTCAGTGCTTTCCGTGGACCGGAGTCGAAGCGGATGGTACTCATCTAGTCTTCAGATTCGTGCAGCAGTCTTGAGCCTGCGTTCCTCGAGCAGAATGTATGCTGGTGGGATGCCAGTCTCCCTTCTCAGGGCTGTGATGGGCATAGTACGCCAGGTCGGTATAGCAGCGCGGATTCCGAGTACAGAAGCTTGATCAATGGCTTTGCACTGTCTCTTGTTGTAATTTCGCGCAACACCCCGATACTTTTCGCTGGTTGGCCCCGGGCACCAGAATTCAGCTGCATGCATCGCGATTGGCAAAACTACCGTGCGAATGACTGTCGTAAGTAGGTCGTATTGAAGGGTGGTGATGTATATGGTTGTATACACTGGGTATCTTCAATTAAATGGTTATGACTACTCAGGGGGCTTAGAATATACTTGGGTGATTATGGCAATAAATGATACGGAATGCGAATGGTATCTTATTGTGTTATTATGTTATGTTACAGGTTATCTACACGATAATTAACCAATCCCACATACTTCCAGATAGCGCCGTAGCTAGTCTCTTTTAGGAGCAATCTACGGGTGAGTGTAGCGATCGGTGGTATCTAATTTATCACTAACCTGTTTCCATTTCCCTGGCTCTGCGTGCTACACTACGTGGATGACGATTTACTACTAATGTGAAAAGCGCATTCATGACAGGTCGGGCCTTGGTTGCACCGAGTATGTCGCCGGAAGTGTTGTACCAGCCGCATTGCCTTGCAAGTCCACTTAGCGACGTGGTTTTCGAAGGTGAGGCCGCAGTTCAGGTACACTCCGAGCCACCGAATGTCGTCAGATGCTTGTACGTCGCGAGTACCTACCCTGATAGGCGGAAGTTCATGTCCCTTGGCTTTTGGGCCGAGAAAGTAGACTACTTCGGCCTTTTCTTGGTCAAAGGAGACGGCGTTATTAGCAGCCCACCTGAGAACTGCATCGACCTCTCGCTGGACGGCTACAGTAGCTTCGTTTGGGGTTGAGCCGATGCCGAGAATAGTTATATCATCTGCATAGCCAAATCTCCAACTGCTGCCCCCCACGACTTCAGACATGTACAGGAGGAAAAGTATTGGGGAGAGCGGCGATCCTTGTGGGACACCGCATTCAAGGAATACCGGATCTGTCACTCCATCCTCGTGCCTGACGCGGGCAGATCGTCCTTGGAGAAATGATTTTATCCAGTAGATGGATGCATCAGGCCAGCCCATTCCCTTCATTGTTAAGAGCAGGCGTCCGTGAAGTACAGCATAAAAAGCCCCCTGCATGTCCAGAGTTACAAGAACCGCTTTCTTCTATCTTTTCATTGCGTGTTCCACATCATGGATGACGCATGAGACGAGGTCATTTGCAGATCTGCCAGAGAGTGCTCCAAAGAGTGCTCCAAAGAGTTGCTGCGGAACTGCCTTGTAAGAGAGGGCGGTGTGAGCCATTCTCCTTGCAACCGGTCACTCGAGACCTTTGCCCAGGGAGGAGAGTAGAGCGATGGGCCTCCATCCTTTAGCTGTGCTCAGATCACGGCCGGGTTTGGGGAGAAGGATTACTTCCGCAAGCTTGAATGCTTTTGGAAAGTGATTTAGTCGCAGTGAGCCCTCAAAAAGTACTCACTGCGTGTCCAATTGATGGTCAGGCTGTCCTAAGGAGACAGACGGAAATTGTGTCTGATCCAGGGGCTTTATTTTGGCAGGTTGTTGTGACCCACTTGGCTTCTTCGTCCGTAACGCTTGTGAGCCATGGAAGGTTTCCGCGGCCGGGCTCGAGGTGATCGGCGTCGATATCGTTTTGGCTGGTGAGCCGCCTGAGAAGAAGGTCACGCAACAGAAGTGCACGCTTTCCTGGGTCCGATACATAGCCGTTGGAAGTTTGGAGTGGTGGAGCAGCGAATGTGGGCCGCGACTTTGCCCAACGTGCCATCCGATACATATCGAAGTCTGTTGTAGCTTCGGAGAACTTACGCCGCCAGTATTGGCGTTTTGCACTTTTGACTATGCGTCGGAAAGCTTTCCTGCTCTCTTCGCCCCTGAAAGTTCTGTATTCACATTTGGCCTATCGACACTCTCTTGACCACCATGGCGCTGTCCGGCCCTTTTTCACGCTCCCGCGTCTGCCGGCAGTCCTGATTGCATCGTTAATAGTCTGGACCAGCTTGTCAGCAAGTTTATCGACCTCGCTTGTTGAGGCGATGAGCTGTTGCCCTATTCTATTTGCCCACCCTACCAGTACAGTTTCGAGGATAGTGTAGGTCAGACAGCCAAATGTGTCGTTGAAAATGTGTTTTTCCGAGCGATTGTCTGAAGAAGACGATTGGACCATACTACAGGGCGGGCGGGGTAAGTAGGAGAGACATACTAACCTGTTACGAGCTAGCCCAGCTACGCCTACAGGGCTAATCCCTTAAACAACCCAGCTTGAAGTTTTACCTTTTCCAACCCAGATGCACTGTTATATAAAAGGACTGAGAGTTATGCAGGCATCCAAGGTGACCCGTGCGTACATACACACAAGAAGGGCGGTCTTTCTGGTTGAACCTAGATAGAGAACCTCAGTGATTTAGTTGTAATACAAGATTGAGCCAATAACGTTTACAACATCTAAATATCGATCTATGTTCTACCTCGCTTAGGTAGAAACATTATGTTCTGGTTATGTGATGGAATAATATTGCCAACACCGAGATCACAACCGGCCAAGACCTAACTAAAGCTGGTAGCAATCGAAGATGAGTAGTCTTCATCTACTTCGCACTGCGTGCCGTTCGGTCTTGTACGTCTAGATTTCAACAAATGCAACTATATTTTATGGGGTTAATTGGAATGGGGATTTAAGTTGCAGTTGGCTGCAATCCAGGTGATTTTTTCAACAAGTGCGAAACGAATTTGTGACAGTCAATTGAAAAAATATGTACTCTATGCTGGCCAGTGAAGATAATGCTTGTATATCGATAGTTGTCGGAGCACTTGCTCCGGTAGGCCTGAGCTTATGTTTAATGCCTTAGGCACACAAGTGGACTGAGGTTTTATCAACGCTTCAAGGGCGTCCCTACATAGATATCTATATACATATACATCTCAGTCAGTCACCACTTTTGCATTAGCAAACCCATTCTCAGTACCTGTGATATCACAGAGATTGATCCTGTCATACCAACAATAGTACTTGGAAGAGGACGTACCACTACTTTCTAGGATCTAGTTACATCGCACATCTTTGTAGAATATTCGAGACCAGGCTAAGGAATACAAGGAATCATCTAGCGGCGAACAAAGACCTTTCTACAAGTCACCATGAACTTCTAGCATGGAACACGTAACTTATGGAGACAAGGAGAGAAATTACCGGAAATATTAGAGGTTATGTGGCGTAGTAATTGCTCATAATGAAGGCTCAAGGAAAAGTGAGAGTGGATGCATATATAATCCACCGATGTATTACAGAGTTTGTTATTATCTGCATGTAGGCTTCTAATTTCTACATAACTATCTCTTTCTTTCTTTCCTCGATATACGACAAATAAGATGGGTCAAGTTGGTGATCACAGAACTCATCGCTACTACCCTTTATTAAGATCTAGAATTTGAGTTTTAGGACCTCACAGTCAACAAGGCTAAACTCGACCCCCAAACTCGTTTGCTAGAGCCGGAGTTTCATCGGTATAGATTCAGCTATTATTATGGATTCATGATTTTAGACTTCTATCCATCTATACCACATATGGCAAAACTTTTTATTAGTTACGTCCTGATTTCCATTTAAATTATACGACGCTAGTTCTTTGAGCAAACAGAGATTGTTTAACGAGTAATTAATGCAAGGACGTAGCGTCTCGATGAGAAACACAACAGTTTTTCTTAGGTCCAGTAGAGTTTAGATAGCGTTCTTCAAGGTTGGATTAAGTAAATTAATTCGTACATGCATAATTTAGTTAGAAGTTGTGCTTCATAGACTGCCAAAACAATGATATGAACAAAAATTAATCATAATTCGTATTAAAAAAAGTTACAAACTTTTCATTCAATGTGATGTAGAGGTGTTTCATAAGCCCGAAGTTTTTGGTATTAAAGAGAAGTAATATTACAGGAGCTAGGAGGTACTCCCTCGTTCATCCATTTTTTAAATTCGTTATTGATACGAGATATTTTAGCCGAGTCGAGTCCTCGCATCCATGGTCCACTATTCTCGAATTTTTCTCGGAATCTGTCACTTCGTTTTTTCTCTACCTCTAACATTCGTAGGCGGGAGCTACTTATACCATCGGTATTGTAGGTAAAGTTTTTATCGGTTCGTATGGTCATATCGGCGCCACCTTTAATGTATTCGAGTTTGTAAGTATTGGCCTCAATCCGTACGACTAAATTTTCTTCAAAAAAGATGGTTTTCAAGATATCTTCATCTTCCGAACCTGCTCCTGCTGCTTCAAGATTTCTTTGAAGAATAGTTTTCCCAAATTCTTTACTTTTTGTCCCTCGTGGTGGCCAGAATTGTGAATTGCGAGGAACGCCTTCAGTAGGTTCATTTCGTTGCCATGATGCAACATAATACTGCCAACTCTGGCTTTGACCCATCCCACTTGGATCAAATGTGGCATCTTCTTTGTTAACTAAGTTAACGGACGCTTCACGTTTATTTGTATTCTGATTGACTCGTTAGTTTTCTACAGACTAGTGAACCGAGATTTTAGACCATTAGAGAGGAATTTGAAATACGCACCCATTGAATCATAAACAATTCACCATCCTTAATGCATTTGTTTGCTCTAACACGAAGCTCAAGTTCCGTATTGTAGGTTGTTTCTTCTGATTGGCGGTTTTCGTAAAATCGATGTACAATATCAGGGGTTTTTTCCTTTGGATCATTGCTCGAGCACGTTGCTGCCAACCGACAAAGGGACTTTAGGTGATCCATTATCGTGTAAACTTGCCAGCCTTTTTTGAGGTAGTACTGACGAAGCCAGCCTTGGTAGATAGCTTCTTCAACCTCACCAGAAATGAAATCCTCAATCAAATGTTTTGCTCGGTCATAGTATTTTTCACCATTGCTAGGCGCGGGGGTTGTTTGTCTATTATCAAGGCCTATCTCCTTCGAAGGTTTGGGTAAAGATGCCCTGAAGTATGCATCTAAGGCCTCATCCTCGCTTATTTTAAGATCTTTAAGCCTTCGATATAGAGTTTGGAAAATACACATAAAGACATAAAGTACTTGGTTACACCAAAGTTTATATATTGTACGCTTATACGGCTCATCTGCGTCCATTTCAATGTTGATTTGGGTAGGTACGGAGTTCCCATCTCGATTTCGGGCTATAGTCCCTGAAACGGCGATCCAACGGTCAGCTGCACTCTCAGAGACAGTGTCATCATTATTATCAGCTTCTTCTTCGGCAATAGAATCAACATCAGGGGTTGACTCTTTACTGGTATTTGTAGTTTCGAGGTTTTGTGTACGCCCCCGAGCACTATTGCGAACTTTATCAAGGACACCCCGACGAAGATCAGCTTTTTTTCCGGTGCCATTTCGTCGGGCTCTGCCTCCATTTGATAATTCTAGTGGTACTATTTCCTCATCATCATCAGAGGTTCCTCTATCAATATCTCGAGTAGCTTCAAAAACACTGTCTTCAGATATACCGAAGAAGGTTGGAATAAATTTTTCAATGAACTCAACAATGCGACGACGCTCAAGAAGATTGTGTTGACTTGCATTTGTGGCATATATTATCATGAAACGGAGAACATCAAGAATCACGTCAGTGTCGAGAAACTCCCACGTTAGTTGAGCTTTTGGATTTACTGCTTGTGTGCTCCGTGCCCGTCGTTGCTCTTCATACTTTGTTTTAATACTATCGACAAGGTGTTTTGCGGAATACTCTCGCTTATCTTTCGTCTTGACTTGTATACCCATATGATCAAGACTCTTGAGATGTAGACTGGTAGTTTGAGAAGCCCAGACCTTCTCCCATTCGCGCTGAGTGAATCTCCATTCCTCATCTTTCTGTTTTAGACGGGCCAAGACAATCGGTAGAACAGCACATGGGTCTTTGAATAAGTCGGCACAGACTTGTGGACCACTCTCCTGATATATTTTTTTTAGAACGCGGCGATAAATGGCCTGACTTTGGCCCCCTAATCCAATTGGCATTCGGAAGCTCTCCCTTTCTTCGGGGCCCATAGAGAGAATTGATTGGCCAATGGGTTCAAGAAGTTGAATAACCTTTGCGTTTGCTTCAATGTTAAAGTCGTAGTCATGACGTTCTTCTTCGATGCGATGAAGACTTTCTTCAAATATATTCTTACGATGGGCCACAAATCCTGAATCTTCAGAAGCCCAAGTTGGATGGGACGCCCAGTCATCGTTTAGAACCTGATTACACATTTCATCTCTGCCAGAACAAGGTTTTATCTTCTCTCTTCTCGGTAGCAAACGGTAACTAGGTCCAAGTGCTCGACAATTGCTTAAAGAAACTCTTCCTGTGGACGAGGCCGGGGTATTTTCGATTAGACCATTTGCACTGCTATATCCTACAAATTCTTTGAACCAATTTATCAGTTCCGGGTTATTGCCGATAAAAGCGCTTGCTTTGTGAATGAGTACATTTTTTTCAATCAAGTCTTGAGAAAACAAGTTACATAACTTCAGGAATTCGTTAACCTGGGATTTGTTGTTAATGTATTTCTTAACTCGGTCAAAAAAAGCTAACTCTTCGACAGTAGCACCTGTGACGGAGGTTGGTGCAAGCGGCTCTGGTATAATTGGTGTTAGGGTTGGCGAGATGAGCGTATTATCCAAAGGAATTTGCTTGTGGGCAAGCTTAGCTCTCTATGTAAAAAGTTATTTTACGATGGGAATTTTTTCTCATAGAGGTGTGATTTCACAATGTAAAAAAATCTTCTACATACCTTGTTCGAGGCACCTCCGCCCAATATTGCGTTTTTGTAGATGGAATCTTGAGGAATAGTTGTTTGCTGAGAAGTAGCCGCAGTATTACTGTTACGAGGTCTCTTTTTGTTGTCTTTACTAATACTCGCTGGGACTGCAAAATTTCCAACGAGAGGCATTTTTGTATCACGGTTGGTGTGCGGTTGTGGTGTCTGGTTCTGCCGAGCTTCTTCCATGGCCTTGGCCGCTGCTGCTGCCTTAGCATGTGCTGCTGATTCCGGAAGGAACTGCTTAAAGTCTTCTAAAAGATCAGGTGCTGTATTAAAGAGATGCGTAACTTGAGCATATACGTCCTGAATCGGCTTGGACTCGCGCTGATAAGTCTGAAGAATTTCAAGAAATTGTTTGTATATTTCTGGTCGCTCTTGAAAACGATTCTATGGATAAGGTTAGCTGGGCCTAATCTCAAATATGTAGCGCGTGAATTGATTTGCAAGGACCATGCTAACTTTTATCTTGTTGACGTAACTAATTGCATGGTTAAACTCAACGGGTCCCCTTTTTTCTGTTCCTAGTACTCCAACATTTATACCACTTTGTGCGCCTGATGTAGATGTTTGACCATTCTGTGGTTGGCCTAAAATTCCAGCAGCATTCGTTAACTGCGAGACTCCTCTTTGCTGCTGTTGGTGTGCAGCAGCAGCAGCGGCCTGGCTATCGTAGGCTGCATTTTGGGATAGTGGCTGTCCGTATGTGGTCACAGAGGTCTGAGGCTGTGGGCTAAATCTAGCTTCTGGACTTTCAACACTCTGCTGTATTTGTTGCCAATTTCCAGACCTCTGGTTGTCGTAGCAGGTACCTGGACCTGTTGAAGGTTGGGTAGTTTCATTACCGAGAAGTGCTCTACCAGCACCTGTTATTGACTGAACAGTAGTACCCATTGGGGTGGTAACTCTAATTATATTTGGGTCTGGGCCCGTACCGCATTCGATTCGATAGCCGGGGGGAAGGAAGGTATTAAACCCCTGAATTAGATTAGGATGTCCAGCGAAGAGGTCTGAGACTCGATTGATGACTCCGGGTGTGTCGATTCTGTATAGTATCAGCCATCATGTAACTCAGAAAATATATATCTATAGCACTCACGCTTGGCTCTTGAAATCTTTCATTATGTCAAGAAAACGATTGTATACATCGGGCTGATCGGCGAATTGTACCTTGACTTGGTCTAGGTAGCTTAGGGCGTCCTGCATCGAATCTGTTAGAAAAATTACGACCAATAGCAGTAGATAGAGATTCCAATGCTAAAATCAAACAAAAAATAAGAAATAACGGGCCGTGCATGTGAAAGATTTTCAGACAAATTTATGATGTGTAAATATCCGGGCATTCTTGTTGCTTTAGCTGAAGAGAATTTTGTGGCGAATATCACCTTTGAGGTTATTTCTCTCTTGCTAAGCCTATCTTGAAATTCAGCGGGAGAAATAATTTCCGACCGATATATCATTCGGGAAAAATTATAATCAATGTTGAATGAGTCGAAGCCTTACATTTAGAATTGGTTGCTGATTGGCTTGAGCTATAGTTGGAACGGTCGGTAATTGATTTCCTGGTGTGACTAGTGTACCGAATGGGAGAGTTTGCTGTAAGCGGGAAGCGGCTTCAGGTTGTTGCTGCTGTTGTTGTTGTTGTTGCTGCTGTTGTTGTTGTTGTTGTTGCTGCTGTTGTTGTTGTTGCTGCTGCTGTTGTTGCTGCTGCTGTTGTTGTTGTTGTTGCTGCTGTTGTTGATGTTGTTGTTGTTGTTGTTGCTGTTGTTGTTGCTGTTGTTGTTGCTGATGCTGGTGCTGTTGTTGGTGTTGGTTCTGTTGCGGATGTTGGTGCATAGAGCCTCCGAATCCAGCTGGGTTTATCCCGGGTCCCATGTGAGAATTGTGATGCATAAGGCTTGGTCCAAAATTTTGTTGTTGTTGCAGCTGGCTGGTATTTATCTGTAGATTTAGTTTAATTGGGCGACTTGCATCGTGTAGTGGACCTCCAAATGTATTCACTGTTCCATTTGACGCGTTCAAACAGCCACTTGACAATGCTTCGTTCTGGTTTGCAAGTATACCACCAGGACTAAGGATTGCACCTGGTAGACGAGATGCCACTGGCTGATGGAGGGGAATAGAAGATGTATTGCCTTGATGAAGAGCTGGTTGTTGATATTGCTCTCGGAAATGCCTCTCACGGTCCATGACCTCAGTGAATCCACGTTCACGCTGTGCGGTTTCTTCTTTTTCTCGTTGGCTTACAGTATTTTGGTGATGCTGCTGCTCCTCCATTTCTCGACCTTGCGTGCAGTATCTCTACGTCTGTGTTAAGAACCTGAAATATCATGGATTTTTCTTAGTAGATTGCACTTCTAACTTGTTGATTTCATGGGAATATTTAAGCGATTAGCAGACGTGTACTTAGTTGCAGTTTGGCCTGAGATGTTGAGCCTCAAAATTTATCCTTGGTGTTCAGATCCGTAGCATGGATATGAATGTCGTACAGATGGGAAATTTAGCTTGTAATTAGGTAGGCCTAGTGTGAATGGTATGGTGTGAGTAGCTGCATGACAAGCTCATAAAATGTAGCCTTGGAATGACGTGGTGCTATCATCCCAAGTTTAATGCTTTTTAGACTCACACCATTGTTCTCCGCTAAATCATATTTTGGCTTGATAGCTTCGCGGTAGTTTGCTTGTATTGAATTTGTCAAAGCACCTCTAGGACAATTGATATACGAATTGAAAATCCCCCGTAGATTTGGCACACTCCGGCAACTTTGTCTTGCGTCACATTAGTCATTTACTGTAGCTCAGTGCCTGGCATGGAAGATTTGAATACAAAAATTAACAAATAATTGCAATAAATTTCGGAACTAAGCCTTGGCATTTTTCGACCGCCTACAGAGATAGTAGTATTAAGGATTTGGAGGCTGAGACAGCAAACTTGCCCAGAGAACTCTTATTTTTTTTGCATCAGATTTTAATTGCGTATGCAGCTATCTAGCTATGACACAATATCAGAGAAAAGTACAGAAAATATGACTCAATTTACAAGAAGAGCACTTATGCCTCAGATTTCATTTGCAAGTACCATTGCGAAGTTATGGTGGCATTTTCTTCACCCAAAGTCAACCCTCGTCCGTGAATACCCACCCAGGGGAACGTCTCAAAAACCCTGAGTTATCCAGACATGCTTCCATCATCTTTCAACTTTTCTCCGGGCGAAATGTGATCTGAGGTGTCTCTTTCCCAAGTGGAGTAGGTGCTCAGGCTACTCAAATTATACCAGAGAACATCACCAGGAGGCGGACCACAACACCTTTCATCGTTTGCTTGTGTTTATAGTGTCAGCTGCACTCTCGCAAGCGAAGTCTTGGCGCGCACAAAGCTCAATTCGTAAAACTCCTTGCCAAAATTCGAAATTTCACGTCCGTCGTAAACGTATCCCTCTTCTGCATCATCTTATAAACTTGTCCTGATCCCTCTCATGTCCGTCCCAAAGAGCTGTCTCACAGATTTGTGTGCCATGCTTATCTTCCTCCTGCGGATGTAAATATCGGCGTGGGCGTGTATATGGTAGTCAACTGAGACCAGAGAAGGTCGACGAGAGGTGTGGTCATTGAAACAAGGACGTACTAGGTCGTACTTGTAGACTAGATGAAGCTTAGTTGAGAATCGGACTCTTTGGGAGTGAAAGATTGACATGGTGAAGTAATTTGAATTTTTGCCTCGTGGGCCAACTTCTTTGATATTGCGAAATTTGACTGAACTTGGCTCTGGGAGAATATTTCACTCCCAGGTTCGTAGAGGACACCGCGTACAGGTGTTCAGTCTTGCCCTCCGCCCAGAGAACTCGGGTATCTCAGGAACTGCCATCAATATACCGTACAAATTCTTAGATTTCAAAAATCACACCCTATATACCAGCAATTGTTTTAACCTCTAGCAGATGAACTTTCAAACACGGATCAAATTATCCTTCGCCTGATGGGGCTTCTGAATTTCCCTTATACTGAGTCGTGTTTTCTGTACTTTTCTTTGATATTGTGTCATAGCTAGATAGCTGCATACGCAATTAAAATCTGATGCAAAAAAAAAGGGGGCTTCTGAATGAGTCAACTATTCAAATCCATAGAATAGGAAAGTAACTACAAAGTTTTGTCTACAAAGCAAAATTGAAAAAGGTCAAAGACCAATGGGCTCCTCCCTGACTCCATTTCGATTTTAAAATATTTATCTCCGAATCAAGGAAGGCGGGGTCACAGGCTCAGCACTCGAGATATCTTACAACCATCACATTTGACTCAACTATTGTCTACATAGATAGATCATCTGAGAAGATAAGGGGGAGTAGCATTGAAGTTATCATCTAATCACCTTACACTAGACAAATGAAGGGGTATTCTTAGAACCCCGGCCAAGAAGTAGTTATTGTAGATGCTGAAAGCTATTTCATATTACGAGCACTTGATTCGCTAACATAATACCAAACTTCATCTTGTTTTTTTTTTCAGATAGTCAAGTCTTCTTCAAATTAGATGTCACATAAAATAAGATCCATCAATTAGCCAGCCAGCCAGATTTATTCTTCACTAGTGTCATGGCCATAAAATTTTGAGGGCAATGAGCCTGCAGATAACCTTGCCAAGATATGAGTTAGAACAAATATCAGACCTAGAGACAAATTTATTTCACAATCTTATTTATGCAAAAAGCACCACAGCAAATCATAAATTCTTGGCATCTATATTGGGACTTAGAAATCGTTAGAGAAGAGTGAGAAAAGAAACCTTCAGACCTCAGGAAATTTTATAAAACACAGGCAAAAAATAGACACAAAAATTCAGCATGAAACCAACCAACTTGTAACTATACAGCCGAGGAACCCAATCATCATATTTTAAAGCAAGAACAAAGGTTGAAAATATACCCACTCATCTTAAAAAAATTGGAAAAGGAAAAAAATATCTGCAATTTCTGCGTGGTAGAGAAGCAGACATATAACCGTCTAATACTACGGTGTCCACGATTCAAAGTTTAAAGGAAGAAAGAACTCTCAGAAATTGTGACACGAAGCTTTGATTTTTTATTCAATACCCAGGGTGGGACAGAAAATCCGCAAAAGTTTATCCAATAAAGTAATTGTATAAATTAACCAAAAATTATAGACACTTCAATTACATGTATGGAAATCGTGGAATTACGGCCCTAGAATGGAGAATGACAACTAACATAAATAAATAAAAGGAAAAGGAAAGGGTCTGTGGAGTAAATTCTATCTGGCTGGGTCAAATTTAGATTGGAAAATATGTGAAGATATAAGCAATCCAGAACATTAGAAAGAGGCAAATATTTTTACTGATGCACAAACAGGCAGTACAAAAATGAATTTCAAAGATACACATATAAATTTCCACTGTAACCTAACCAGGGCCCAAAGCAGTGTCGCTATTCAGCTAAGAAGCGAACATATCGGACTCAATTCTTACCTGTGCAGAAGAAAAGTACCCGGAGCAGAAAAGCCATGCTGTCAATGTGGATATCCGTCATAAAACGTCAAACACATGGTATTAGCGTTTCCGCAGTTGGCAAATGGAAGAGGTGACTTTCTCCGAAAAGCTAAAGACAATTCATTTGAAGCAATGATGAACAGCCCAGAAGATGTGGTTAGAACCACGCAGTGAATACTAAACAAATGGTGGATAAAAAAGGTTTGACTTGCAGGGGAAGTCGAGGTAGCAATGTCAGATATTATAAATCGATCTAGAAGGGGAGAGGACGGAATCCACACAGGCTGAACAGTGTACACTGCACTTCCTGAAGGTAAACTAAATAAATCGATAGAAATATAAACAGACAGGATCAGGGGGTTTTCACCAAGTTGGTTTCCCCCCTTTGTAAATAATGGAATCAGCGAGAGACTGATAGACTGAGAGAGAACGAGCTGTTCATTTCTCGTAGGAGAGAAATGATATCATAAGAGAATGTTCTAGCACTAGGCTGTGAACAACACAGTAAGTCTAGAGCAAGATATAAGGAGGTCTCAACCTCCGTCCATTCATCGTAACTAAGTTTCCTTTACACGAGAATATAGAGTCAAGTCTTACATATCACGAGAACACACGCGACAGCGACTATAGAGACCTACTGTGAGCATACCTTCCCCAAGAGTATCCATCGTCCTGCTCCCATATAGCCAGTCAATATAACAAAATCCCAAGCTCATGATCATATCTTGCCCTAAGTGGTTAATTATTAAAGGAGAAATCTTGAGACAAGCCCGAAACCGCTCCTTTGAAGCAATGATCAATAATCCTTGTTAAATAAAAAGAATCACATCATGGATTCTTTATCATGGTTGGACAGAACAAATCAGCATGACCAATAGAGTCGAAATGCTGCTCAGGGAACGAGACGGAACACGTACAAGGTTGGGGTCGATAGAAGGGACGCGATTGGTACATAATGACGACGTTACAGTGTAACTGTACTTCCTGAAAGACAAATTGCGAACTATAAGACTTAAATCAGAAAGCTTGGGGGGTTTTCACTGAGAGGTTTCCTCCTATGTAAATATATAGATAGTTTTATAGCCACCTGCATGGGCCCATGAGGCGCCAAATCAGGATAATGAATAAGAATCAAATAAATTATTCAATTTTCTTGATTTGGCGCCTTGTGGCCCATGTAGGTTTTATGGGAAGATATGTACTCAAAGTTGCAGACTCAATTTGACGTTTAGAACACTCACTTAGATCTCATTCGGAGATACCACGCGAAGTTAACCCTTACGACGTATAACCTCTTTCATGCATACCCGCCACAGGGAAAAGCGTGAAAAACCTATGGTAATCCGAGTGTGCTTTCATCATCTCACAAGTACAATGTCACTACGAGAGAGATTGGTGTGTGGGCTTTACTTGATTCGAACCAGTTTTCTTGTTAGGCAAAGTTATACTAATGTGAATCTCTCTCAGAGTAGATTGAATTGATTGTCCCCTACCATAAGGAATCTATCTAGGCACTAAATAAATCTTGGGTATTCTAATAATTCCAAGGGGACTATTCTCAACATCTGTCAATGGTGTCCCCTACAAACCTCCAGCTCCCCCTGTAGAGTTTGCAGAACCGAGATTGAGTAACACTTTTTCAACTTTGAGCTGAATTATCACCCTCTCTATCAAAGATACTCCTCCGATAACTCATAAGACGACCAAGACGACGATAATGATGCTGGGAATGAGGAAAGATTATACGGTACCTAACGCTAGAACTGTAGTCAGATGAGCC